TATCAGCATGGGCGCGGGCAAGCCACAGTGTTGACCATAATTTTACCGGTTGGAGTAACAGAAATCCCTATATTCATGGAGCCCACCTTGACGAGAGCCCGTCGGACAGTTTGGTATCCTGCATGCTTAGCAATGGTGACCAACCTCTAGCTTGTGCGATGACTGCTATACATGACTTTCAATAGTTGGGCAGCGTGATTAACGCGAAGTTCAAAAGAAGACTGACAACATTGTCCTAGGCCTCTCAAAGTCACGCGTAAATCAAGCACGATCACAAGGCAAGCGACTTTGAAGTGACTGTCTCCAATTCAAGGTCACATGATAACCATGGTAACGCTCGCATGACACAGCTTCGTGATCACAGATTTGTGGATCGCTGACCCATCTACCCCTTTTCCATACACACCCTTTGCTCTTCTGGCAAAGCATGCTTGCAGGCGGAGCCCCTCGATTTCCTCACATGAACTTGTCGGACCATGGTATGCAAAGGTCCTCCAGCTTTGTGGCAATACTCCAGGAGAGCCTGGGCACAGACTGACTACTCTTCTTCGCGCGCGCCGTATTCTGTCTGCGACTAACTGTGCAAATCGCGGTATGCTTTCTGTTTGGCTGACGGCTATCACATCAGTGGACCCTTGGTCCTGCAGGCCCCTGAATTCAACTCTAGCTCTGAACTCTGAACCGTGAACCTGGAGCCTGTGAGGAATTCGCACTATCAAAGATATGCCATGCTGCCGAGCGGTAATCCTTCTCCAGGATCCTGCTGAGCTGGGTTTGCCATGCAAGAGGAACATCCCAAGGCCAAATTTTGGCTCCAAGGCTACTCGGGTTCTGTTCACTAGGCAGAGCTGATTAACCTCACGGCCAACTCGAGCTTGTTAACACCCCAGCCAATGCTTTGGGTGGGTACATCATGCGCTTTCCAGCAAGATCATTTCCTGCTATGAGATGTAGGAATTCGAAGTGCAAAGGCAAAACTGACAACACAACCAAAGCATAGCAGAACTCTTCCTCAGATGGGAAGAGAAAGTTTGAAAATCTTAGCCCTCATGTCCTATACAGGAGTTGTGCGCATCCCTGCGATCTTTAGGACACCTTTTCAAAACTCGACTTCCAAATTAGGGTACTCTGCTGGCTGCATTACCATCATCATCATCACCATCATCATCATCATCATCATCATCTCCATCACCACCACCAATCACTTGCGAATTTGAGCAAAGCCGGAAAGAACATCCGTTTAACAGAAAAAGAATCTGGTAGGCATGCACATGGTAAGCTAAGTGTCAGAAACGCAACGCAAAGTCTGAAGCAACAACTTGACTTGGGAGTTTCCATAAATAGAGGATCCCAACATAGACGCCAAAAGACTGAAATCCTCAATGTGGGGACACCCAAAACGGTACCCCGAATTTGGGGAAATCCCCAACTTTGCCAGGGTGCGAAAAGAGAGACCAGTCGGTCATGGCTTCTAACCTTAGCTCTGTCTAGCTTTGGCTCGAGCTTCAGGGCAGGTGCAGCCCTAGGGGACCCACATGTAGGAAAGTTCACCGAAGAAGGGCACTTAAAACCTTGAGGTTAATTAGAGGTTACCTTGGGCACTTGAGGGTCTGTCCTATATTGGGGTCCCTTGACAATCTACCTGTAAAGGTGACGCTCAGGCGGCGCAAGATGCTGAGAGCTTGGATTTGGAATGCTTGTGATCTCCTGTGCCTACATAATCAGGGAGCCTAACACCCCTTAATGCAGGAATATATGCCTCAAATCATATGCGTTAAGGGATCCTGATATCATTTAGGGTGCATATTGCTGCGCATTGGGCTCCTTGGGTAGCTCTGTTCAGGAGGTTGCGGCAAAGTCACAACCGCTCGGCGTCTCCCAAGGCAGCAAAATGGTGCGCCGCCTGCTCAAAGCAGGACAACTGTGTTCATATTCTGTTAACAAGTTCGCAGGCCAAAAATTCCATGGCCACTAAGGGCACCTCAATGCGCCGCTCCGGCGCACTGGCTTGCAGGAAGAAGGTGGCCAGCCTCGAGGAAGCATCGAGTGCTGACATGGGCTACTTTCTCCAGAAACCTCCTCGGTTGCTAGGTTGTATGGACTCATGCCCCATGAGACCCTACAAACACCCCGCAGAATCATACTAATCAACATGAGCCAACAAACATAAATTGGGCCAGGCTTACGGTACCTTCCCCAACATACTCAACTCCACACAAAAAGGGCGCCTGTGATGCCAGCACTGCACCTTCTGGGCCAACCCGCGCTTGTCCAAGGCTTCCCTGGGCTGTCATATGGCCGTATTTCCCACATCATTAACGAACATTGGCTCCTTATTGAGGAATATCTAGGAAGCTTGGTAAGCATAGTGTTGATAGCAGCTCATATCTTCCAGCTATGGTTGAACCATGAATGAGGTTTCGCGAGATCAGGCTTCTGTTGAAATTTAGCTAGAGAAATGTGACTTGGGCTGTGGGAGTTGGCACTTTTTCGTCAGGGTTGTAGGGCACGGAAATATTAGATGCGTCTTCAAAGAAAGACTTTCACTGTCAAGTCTGAGTAGCAGCTGAAGCTGAAACAATGCCTGCTCTTGTACCACCCTGCTTCGAGTTTGCAAAGCAAAAATGCTCGAAGGATTCCAGAGGAAGGTTCTTCTAGCGTCAGGTCAAAAACAGCATTTTGATTTGCATGTATTCTTGCAAAAGGTCTTGCCCTTTCAGAGTCTTGCGTGTGCCTTTACTCCCAAAACTGAACAACCAATGATTTGGCCTGTCAGGAAGAGGGCGAATACTGAAGCCTGAACCGGTGACGCCTGCCATGTTCAGGTTCTACATCCGACGCCTGTTACAGGCGTTGATTTCACAGTCACTGTGAGCTTATGAAGGTTCAGTACTCTTCCATTCTTCCAATGACTTAGCAAGAACTGTTTCTGAACCATGGCAACCAGCGGAGACTTGTAGAAGCCAACGACAATCGGAAAATCTACGGCAGCAAAAGGGGCAGCGAGCGGAGCAACCGCCACTACACATGTCTGAGCTACCCCGATGTATGTATCGCTAACGGGCAGTGGGCTTCTTGCTGGGTTTCTCGGGGGCCGAGCCATCCTCTACTTAAAAACGCAGCTACTAGCACGGACTTAAGAGCCCCATGTCCAGGCTAAAGGTGATCGGAAAAGTCTAACGAGTGAGCCCAGGAAGCTGGAGCAGCGACTTCAGCTGCACGCCTGCAGCTCAAACAAAAAGCTTCAGCGAGCCCAGTGGTCTACGGAGACGCAACGAAGCAGCTGCAGGAGTAGTGTAGTGGTGGTGACTGCGGCAAGATGTAGTACTTACAATAGCAGCACGAAAGGGCGGAGGAGAAAACTAGCAGCAGGAGGTAGCACTATCACTACTAACCGCTCCTACCACTACAAGAAGGTTTTCCATCATCTTTCGAGCTTGACCTGAACGCCCTTTGAGAGTGTGGGCATAGGAGTCGAAATCGCAATGGCATGCACCGATGTTTTTGTGTGGCGAACGTGCGGCTTGCGGCCCGTCAACAGCATTCGCTCCAAATACAAGGACACAAGCTCCAGCTGATTTCCACAGAAGTTTACAAGAGCACTAGCAGTCCAACTTTCCTTACACCGCACGGAATTTGAATCCAACTTCCAAGGCCTTCCTCGAAGTCCAGGAGCAGCGACAAGCGCTCCTGGGCAGGTGCTGCCCTTGCGCTGTAGAACAGTTTGCAGGAGCTTGGCATGGATGACTTCTGGGCCAAGGGTGAGTGATGTAAGACAGCTTCTAGCAATCAAGATGAAAGACCCCTTCTCTTCTCGGACTTAATCTCCGGCGCTTGGCCCTAATCTCAGCAGCTGGCTTGAGATTTTCCTCACTTAACATGCTTACCTGACTTGCCTAGGTGCATCTTGATGAAGACAGTCACAATACACTTCTAGCTGCGGGTATAGGATTGGGGTGTAAATAATGATAAGATTGAGCTGTCCAGAGCCTTCTGACATAAGAAAGAGCAGAGCTTCTTCTTGACGCCTAGATCTATACCGAGAACTCCGGACATGGGTAAGGAGACAGCAGTGCCATGCAGCTTGCATGCACTTACCTACAACTAGTGCCCACATTCGAGATGCACAGAACGCGCATTGCAAAACACCAGGGCCTCGATTGTGGGCCATGCTCCGCCAGGTCCAAGGAGCTCTTTGAGCTCCTGACTTTGCTAACGATCATTGCCCCCACCACTGCTCCTGCTCCTCCTCCTTTTATGAGGCCTGCTGTTGCTGCGCCACTGCTCCCGCTAATGATACTGCTACGATGCCACTGAGTACTCACCAGAAGCACAAAGCACTGCTTCTGTCTGATCTCTCTAGGATTGCCTTGGCAGGCTGGGGATCAGGGATTTCTGTCAGCAGCTCGTTCTTGGCAGCAGCATAAGAACCACGAAGCAAATCAATGCTGGAAAAAATGCACCTGGCTGCTTGCCTTGCAGCATTTCATTCTGTGTTAGCCATTAGGCCTCCTGATCCCTGCCTGTGTGCCATCCCCAAGCGAAACACCCAACTATGAAAAAACCAAGGGTAATCCTTGCAATTCGTGCCAACACAAAGACCAATGCATGAACTGCCCTCTAAATGCTCCAGCTATACTCCTTATGTTCCCCAAATCACAGGCGACCACATTTTCACCGCCAGCGAAGCCGTATGGCTAAGAGTATAGCCAGGAGTGCACCTTGCAGCTCGCAGGTGTCAGTCTAGGACGAAGGATTAAGGAATAAAGGTCCTGTCTCAGTCTGATCCGATTGTTCCAAACACACCTCTCCGACCATCAGCCGTACGACACGAACTGCAGTTTGAGTCTTCTCGGAACCATTCCTAAAAGAGAAGCACGTGGAATCCTCACCAAGGGGGTTGTTGAAGCTAAGGTCGTTGACTTCTGAGAATGAACAAGCGATTGCTCTGCACATCGTCGAAAATTGTTACAAAGAAGTCTCCTCGAGTGCTCGGCAGCCTCCATAGGCCCATGTGCGAGAGCTGCAAGGCAGGTGGGCAGCACGCGGCTCTTCTGCTGCCAGGGCAAAAGCGAAGTAGGAGCCTTGGCCACTGCATGTTGGGAAGACCTTTGCTGTATCGCACTCGTGCGCGATCACACAGGTCTGTGGGCAAGTGTTGCCAAGCCAAGCACTGGAACCATGAAACATGGTTTGGGGGGACTTTGAAACGGAGGGCACTGGCCATGGGGCTGGGCATGTTGAACCAACGCGATGGCACTTGCTATTGTGGTTAGGGTCGGAAGTTCCTGTTCGCTCCGGAATTTGCTGAAACCAGCGGAGAGCAGCACTTCTTTAGGAAACCCCAATGACTCAAGCCTGCTCACCTCGAAACACAAGAGCCTGCCAACAGACATGGTCTGTTGACCAGCACGAGGGACGGATGTGCTTTGCCAGTCTGCCAGATCCATACCTTGGCCATGAGAAGCGGAAAGCCAAACGAAACTTGAAGTGCAAACTTGAATGATTGCAGAAAGGACAAGATACACATGCTATACCAAACCGTCTTCGTGATGAACATGACTTTCACCAAGCTTGGCAGAACTATACCTGGTAAAGCAAGCCAGGCAGGGCGCAGCGTGTTCGGTGGTTTCCTTATAACTTACTGCCTTTTTAGTTCTAGCTCCCTTCCCTTCTTGGCTGCCTGCCAAGAGCTTGAGATGCAACGAAGGTAACTGACCGTGTAAACTCTCAATACCAACCAAGGCTAAAATGGCCTGAGCGGTTGAAGCAAAGATGCCGGATGAGCTTGGATGCTGCATAAATGCCCTAACTACCCATGAGCAACTCTGTGGGGAAACCTCTTCCTTTTCAGCTGTCCGAACCCGCTACGCCCACAACAAAGCACAGACAGTCTCGGACCTGAGCCTCCTTTTCACACCCGAGTGGCGCTTTGGCATTGGCGTGGAACTGGTAGAACGCCTCGGGTGCTGGATCATGCTCTTCCATCCAGTCGCGAAACCAGGCCAAGAGGTGTCAAGATTTGTCAAGACTATTCAGATGAAGCGCATGGGGTGAAGTTCTGAACATTTCGATTCTGGCATACGCTCTTGGCAGCTTGGGGCCACCGCGCGTTCTCGGCACACAGCGTTTGCACCCGAAAATTCACATGATTCTGGTACTCAGGATGCGGGAGGTTGTCGGCTTCGGGTTCCCTGGCGCGTCAGGTTCAAGACCTTTTGCGGTCAATGCAATTGCCCTGAGTGGCAAGCAACATCTCGATGCAGGGCAGGGCATGTGGTTTCAACCAATTAGCCTGAAACTTTTCCCTCGCAGTCCGCCGATCAAGAAGTAAAACCCAGCAGAGTCTGTCAGTGTTTTACGGAAGGTTCCAAGGTAAGCAAAAAGAGAACACTAGGAAGAAGTAAATGTGCACCAACGTGCACCTCTTAGAAAGGCTAGAATTCGCATACGCTTGAACCCAGACTCCAGACGTCAGGCTCACTTTCCCGGCGAAAGCCTTGTGACCCTCAAAAACTAAGCAGGCCGCATTCATGACCTTCGCAAAGCGCTCCGCATCCTGCCCAGGACACCACTGTAACTTTGCACTAAGCTAGGGTACTTTGAGCTGCTATAAGTCCGATACAAACTTGTCAGTACAGTTTTCAATGCTTAAGAGAGACCTCTACTCTAGCGATGTGTAGGCAGAGACATGAAAATGCATGTTCCGCAACTATCTCCACCCACAAACGTCCTGACGCACGTCACACAGACAGCCTCTCACCCTCAATCATGAGCGGCCGAACGCCCCCTCAAGATTCTGCAGCAGTCTGCAAAGCATGTCGATACAAACTTTGCGGTCCCTGTGCTCAGGGCTACCACCCAGATCCTCCGTGTGGTACCGAAAGGTTGTCGACATGGAAACGCCGGAGCTTATGGTGCGAACTTCGTGCCACCACCAGAGCCTTTGGCTAACTAGTTTTAAGCTGAAGCACATCCCGATAGCGTAGTGGCTCCGTAAACATTTAGGTCTTATGGCTTTATTGGCAATAGCAGGGGTTATGACCCATATCATTAAAACTAATTTGCAGGAATACCCCAGCATCTGCAGGTCGTATCTATTGCCAAGAACTTCAGCTAAACCATAAGCCCCTTTAGCTGAAACCAGGCCCAGGAACGGGATGTAAAGCACCTGATCGGAAGGCTGGAAGACGTGCTTTACAATGTCATACGCCCGGGGACTTTGTGCGTCGGGAAAAGCAACGTGAAGAGCCCCATCTAAAACCTACTCACTAAGTGCCTTGGGCCTTTAAGTGACCTTGGTGCCCGATATAGCGCAAGTACAAGTTAAGCGACCCCTATGACCCTATGTACAAGTTCAGCGACCCCTTGACCCTATGATTTTGCGTTGTTCGGGGCCATGCGGTGATGGACACAGCATGAGAAGACAGGCTTGCAGGAGCTCGCGCTGTTAAACCTCCATCTAGTTTCGTAAACATCGAGGTGTGCGAATCCGAACTGGACCTAGAAGGACCGCCAACTAATGACCCATCTGCTATTTGGGCAGACGCAAGGACCATACATGCATTCTAAATCCACTTCGGCACCAATGCAGCCCTTTGGTTCTGGAAGATTATCCTCCTATCTTGTTCACTGAGCTTTTTTGGGATGTCTGCCTGAATTAGGTTTATTTTGTAAGAGCCCATGACAATGCATTCCTATGGCTTCACAGGGAATGTATAGGGGAACTAGGGATTATGGTTCCCAGGAATATTCCAGCTGAGACTGGCGCATCCCCAGGCTGGAGGACGGCGCGCAAGAGGCCCAAAGAGCTTCGGCTTCTGCGCAGCCGCGACACCTGCTTGAGCCCAGGGAGCCCAATATCCTTTGACTAAGTAATGTAATATAGATTATACGGGGTTTAAAGGGATTATGGAAGGAATATACCCTAAATGATACCAGGACCCCTCATATGTTTTCAGCTGTGTTCCTCAATTAATGGGTATTGGGCGGCTGTAGTCAGCCCCTCTGCTGTTGCAGATTGCTATGTGCCTGTGGTTGCGGGAAAAGGTTGCAGCGGCTTTTGAATGGTCCTGGTGTATACCCATGGCTAATGATACACAATTTCGACAGGATGACTCATCCTCCCGCAGAAGCTTTTCTTGTTGCAGCCCAGAATCGGAGCGGGACTGGGACTTGTACCAGAGTGGGCTGGCAAGAAAAGGAAACCTGTGGGACTTCAAACTGCATGCTTCAACACGGCCACGGACGGGACTTTCGGCTTTGGAACGACTCTGGGGTAGGATGTTGCTCCTCGTGACCCGGGCTGTTGCTTGAGGAAGGTGTAGGGTCCAAGGTGATGTGTAAGCACTGTCTACAGCTGTTATTGGCTGAGGCGCGTTGATTACTCAGCTTCTGCAACAGCACTGGAGAAGGGATACCGTGTCATCTGTGTAAACCCAGAAGTAGAAATAGCTCAACAAGTATGAAGGAAGAGGCACACAGTGCAGACAGGTCCAGCAAGGGTGCTGACAAGACTCCTCTACTCCAGAACAGCTGCTATTTCAGAGTCACACGAAGCCCAAGACCAATAACTTGGATAGACTTCCGAGTCCGAAAGACAAATTCTCATCGGTTTATAGGGATCATATAAGGATTATCGTCCATACTAATAAAGAATTTTGCCCTGGAATGCCCCAGATAATGGCAACTCCTCACTGGATTTGATGCGGCGTGTAAGGACACTGTAGGAAATTTCAGGTTTAGGGCCTGTCACTTCAATATCGCCATGGGGACCTGACAAAAGCCTTTTGCTTGAATGCGCCTCGCCCTGCAACTTCTAAGACTGAGCTCCAGAAGCAGAGCGCCCAATTTAAGGAATGACTACATGATACAAGGATCCCTTACGTGATTTCAGCCATAATATATCCCTGAAGTAAAGAAAAGCTGGGCTCCCTTGCAAACGGTCAGCCCGACTTCGAGCCATTCGGATGCAACAATAGTTTGCGGAACGAAACGCAGAAGCACGAGACCATGAAGTCTGCTGGAAGGGTCAGGGGAACCTATTAAGTAGGTTAGAAGGTCGGGATAACTGGGGTTGTAATGTGGATTATAGGTCTTACAAGTACAAGTATAGTTCCCAAGTCCCCTGACCCTCCATGTGCCCAAGCCAAGGCGCGGATCCACGGCAGCGGCATCATCCGGCAGAAGTAGGAGAACTTCTTTGGTTCCCTGACACCCAGATACGGTAATTTCCATAAATAGGGTACCCCCAATACAGACATCAAAATCCTTGACCCTTACTACAGGGACCCAATAGGTAGCCGTAGACCCCCATGTCATTACACGACTAGTTGATCTCTCGCCAGCCTTTCTTGCTTCTCTTTGTAGAGTCAAGATGATAAGTGGGACAGTGGCACCAACACCATGAGAAGGCCTAGTCCTGATGGAGGTTGGGAGAGACAAGAGATGGGACATCGAATTTTCTCGGAAGAGCCAAAGCATCAGCAGACATATGTGGCTAATGTTGGGGTACTGCACCGGCCCTTGGCCTGAGTGAGGTTTTTGCCGTATGTGGATTTCCCAACATGAATGGGTACCTTTCTGGGGGGACCCCATAATCAGGATTATAGTGTTTGGGGTCTATACGGGGGCTTCCATGCTTATGGAAACTACATTATTTGGCCGCCACAAGCACATGTGCACACATCTGAGGACCTTTCTACTTTCAAGCCGACGTAGTTCCCAGTCAGCGAATGCATTAGGTAGAAGGATGCTGCGCAACAGGTCAACAGATTGAAGTGAAACTGCTTTAGCAGAGACCTGACTGAAATCATACAGCAAGGCCTACTTTGGGATACTTGTAACGTCGTCTATAACCTACTTCCTAGGCCCCTTGAACCCTTAGGTAGCTTTCAAAATTTCGCGGTTCATCTTCATCTGGGCCAAATTTGCAAAGCAACGGCCTGATGTTGACAGAGGAACTGCTCCGAGAAGAGGTCGGAGTGCAGGCCTCTCAGGGATAGGGATGGATAGAAAGTATTCTTAAGACAATGCCAATCCAGCTCAATGGGGTTGTGAACAATTTTTTCTGGAACATAGTGAGGTCTTACTTTCAAATAAGGCGTGGGAAAATCTCGTGTCTTGTGCTTATGATGATTTATTGATGGCCCGTACTGCATCTGGGAAACTGGGCTTCAGAGCACAGGTGTGCAAATTCAGCCAGACTCTCTCTCAGGACTTCCATCCCCACCTTTCAAATGCCGGTTAATCCGTCGCTGAATACATTGTCCGGAAAACGCCGCATCCTCCCCTCTCTTCTACATGCACACTACTGAACTGCAATAACTGACTATAAGCCTGTGGACAAGCTCAGGAAGTTGCTCTGAGGCAGCTGCCAAAGTTGTTGCCCGCAGCACCAATCCAGAATGCCTCGGTTTTTGTCGGTACTTTGAGTCGGGCATCTCACTCGACTTTTGAGAAATGGGGTTGTTGGTAGTCGTAACCATGTTAGACTGGGGGTCCACGACCTTTGGCTCTGCACTCAGTATGGTGGGGTGCGTCGTGCCTTCGTCGTCTCCCCATCAGAACACGTGCTCAAGTGCAGATAGACATGTATCTGAATGAAAACAAGACGGCGCCAAGCAGCTACCTGACAGCCCAGCCCATCTGGCAGCAAGCACGGGAAAGGAACGCCTGGGCAGATAGGGATATGGGGTAGAGAGGGATATCCGTCTAAATTCACAGGTGTAGAGGGGTACATGGGGATGTGTAGCAGGCTGATGGACTGCTTTTGGGCCGGGGCGCAGTCTCTCTGGTCATGACTTACTTCTGGACAACTAAATACTTCAGCGGAACAGAGGCCTTGGGACTTCCTGCCTGTGGATCTAACAATAAAGTCTGAGTCTAGCTTGCAGCTCTGGCACGCGGTATCAAAGCCCGCACCTGTGCAAAAACACCCCCCGCGCGTTTCACGCAGCTCTTGTTCTCAGGCTTTAGGTGTCCATATTGGAACTTCATACCCAGAGAGCCCAGTACCCCTTTATTAAGGAAGATAGCTTAAATCATGTAAGGGATCCTAGTACAATTTTGGATATATTCCCTAATGAAGGGGTGTAAACCTTCTATGTAACCCCTCCCAAAACCCATATGAGCCCATATAACCACACGTATTCCTTGAATCAAGAGTATTGGGCTCTCTGGGTGGCTGACCTTTGGGCTTCAGATTTGGGGATCCAGATGCGGCTGTGGTTCAACGGTGAATTGCGTACACCGGGGGGCGCCTTAAAATCATGGAGATATGTGGGAGTAAGGAAAAGAAAATGGAAACGATTATTTAGGGTTTAGGGCTAGGGCTGTTAAGAATTTGGGAGTTAGGGGGCCCTGTAAAAATCAATTTCTTTTGGGCTTTATGAGGAATATACAGAGAACATTGGTCCATGATAGCAGAATTATCGCCAGGAATGACCCAGTCAAAATGCACTCACAATTCAGTCTAGACTCCAAGACCTCATCTACAATATGCACAATAGGTTGATGCTAGACTCTATACGAAGCCTGCAGTTTCCCGGAAGTTATGGACAGAGACTGAACAGAATTTCACATCGGCAGTCGGGACTTGGCCTAAGGTCCCGTTCCCAATTGGGGGAAGTTGGGATAGTATAGGTACCAGGATTATAATGATTTTGGGGAAGTCAGTCCCATGCACGTCTGACTCTGGCACCCACGCGGCAGGCAAAGGCGTTGGCATTTATCCTCCCAATGCTTCAGAGAAAGCAGATATGCACCTATCAGATGAGAGACCCCGCAGTGCCCCCCCCCCAAACAAAAAGCAGTGAGTAGTTGGAGCGGCCAATAAACTGCAGAAGCCAAACCTGTGAACTTAATTCAGAACAACCCAGCATCCCGCAACCCCTTCAAGTCACATGAGCTGCAATCAGTATTTCCCAAATTCATACTAATCGACCAACGGGACCCCTGCGTCCACCCTTAATGGTCCTTTGGTAAGCCTAATATCGACAGTAGCTGGTATCCTGCCAATCAAGACAAGCTGAGTAAGGATGTTCAGCAGTCGCTGGCCAAAACCTTGTGGCTCTTGTGGAGCATCGCGCCAACAAAGCTGAACTCCAAGTTCACCCTCAATAAGTACCTATATATCCGCATTAAAGCGTCTACATAGTGGTGTTTATTTCAATGTTTGTTTTCACTTTTTAGTCTGAAGTACGGGAGGAATATCCCTGAACCCAAAACCTGAACCTTAAACCTTAAGCCCTGCCTGAATGAAAACTTCTTTTGAATTATCCCTAAATCCCCTATGTTGTTGTAAGCAGCCTGGGCACCACCACATCTTGCCCGGAATCGTCCAGCACAGACCCGAAGTGGAGTGCCGAACCCTTGCGCTCAACAGCTCCCTTGCCTCCCAAGGAAGCAGGATGATTTAGGAGCTCTACAACATTTGGAATCATGGAAAATAAAATGGGGACTACTATTTAGGGTTTAGTTTAGGGTCTAGGATAGATCTAGGGCCCTATAAACTATAAACATCAAATTCGATAGCTTTATAGGGACTATATGGCTTTTGTGGTTCATAACACTTCCCCGAAGAACAAACTAAAACTTGCCCTTGGTGTCTTCAAGCAGGTACGGAAAAATTTGCATGGTCAGCCCTACGACATCTGCTTTGTTCTGGCTTTGTGAGGAATATATATGGAGTCTGATATATTTCAGGAATGGTTGATTAGTATGTGGCCGGAGTGCTGGGTTCAAGGAATTAGGGCCCTCGGACACTGCTCCAAAGAAAGGGCCTGTTGGATCAAGCATCTAAAGCTATCACGAAATTGGTTCAATATCATATCTCAAGTCATTCCTCACAGCCAAAGACACGGCAATGGCGCCTGAGCGTGTAGTCAGATAGAGCTTAGAGCCTTCGGCAATGCGCGTCGCAAGATCTGCGAAGGAACATCCTCCGGTGCTTGATGCGTTAAATTTGGGGCTCTGTAAACATCTAATTTTTCAAACATCTAATTTGTCATTGGTTATGTAAGCTTATGTAGAGACTGTGCTTGTCCACGATGAGCAAAAAATAGTCTCAGGAATATCCTAGCTTATTTGAATCGAAAATGGTGTTTAGGTTTCGCAGGCTGCGTACGGGCATTCAAGACTTTTGCTTTCGAACCTTGTCTTGGTGTCACCTCGTAAGGCCGCGTTGATTTAGTGGATGTGGAGGGCGA